ATCACCATGGGCCTTGAAGGGCCCGCTCCTATCAATCCCCCACCCTCCAAGCCCTGATGTCTCCTGAGCCTGTCTTGGTTACGGGTGGCAAGGGAACCTCAGTCATCTTGCCTTCCCCCTCCTGAAGGTCTGCAAGGTCAGAGGGCAGCACCTGGCCCAGTCTTGTGCCCTTTCATTAGGACGCTGGTGGCCACCACCTCGAGTCTGCACCCTTCCCCACCTCCTCCGATGGCTGGCCCTGACTCACTAAGCTCAAATTGCCCTCCTTCCCCCTTTAGATGGGGCCAGCCCCTGTGGGCTGCAAGTCAGCTCTGAGGTTTGTGGGAGCCATGTGCACACCCCCATGAACCCAGGAAGAGGGTGCTGGGCACGCTGACTGACTGGTATCCTCACGTAACCCCAGGGGGAAGGTTTGAGGAAGCAGGCCCAGGTCACACGGCCCTCTGCTCGCCGTGGGATTCTCCGGCAGCTTGCGGCCAGCCCCTCCCTCCATTCCCACGCCCGCTGGCCGGCCCCACCTCCTACAGGAGGCCTATCTTGACTACCAGTCCCCCAGCCCTGCCAGGCCCCTGGCCACGCCTCCCGCTGACAGACCCCCGCTCCAGGACCCCGTGGAGCCACCTGCTGGCAGAGTGCTGAGTGGCCTCACCTTTCTTGGCACAGTCATGACAATGGGCTCACACTTGCGCTCATGAAGCTTATAGAACCTGGGGAAGGGAGGGGACCATGGTTGCCCGGTCAACTCTCCTGGCTCCTTCCACCCACCACCCACTGACTGATCCCGGACCCTTGAGCAGTTCTTAGGACTCCCAGCACCTGCTGCCTACTGCCGGCAACTCCTATGAACTCTGCCATGGGGTCAATGCCAACTCATAGCCCTGTAGGGCAGGGTTCCAAGACTAACTCTTCACAGGAGTAGAAAGCCCCATCTTTCTTCCTCACAGCGGCTGGTGGTTTTGAACTGCTGACCTTGCAGTTAGCAGCCCAACAAATAACCATTATGCCACCAGGGCTCCTAGTTGCCCCCCCAAACTGGACCCCCTGAAGGTACCCCCAGACCAGCCGCCTCCTGGCCAGTCAGCACCCCTCTTACCGGGCAATCTCACACTTGCTGACCTCCAAGCCCCTCTTGGGCATGCTGCCCATGCCCCTCTGCGGCTCTTTGCTGGTGAAGGTGTTCAGGAAGTGGATGTAGGGGGCCTCGTTAGTGATCTCAAAGTACCGGATGCTGGAGTCACCCTGGAGGGGCACGGGGGTGGGGTGGAGAGGGTGGAGGGAGGGTTGGACATCAGCATAGAGGCAGCCCCTCCTCCCCGGCCCTGGCCTTGGCCCTGGCTCCAGCTCAGCCGACCTTGCCACAGACATAGACCACGCTGGTGTCCGGGTCGTAGAAGGGCAGCAGGGTCCCGTTGCTGGAATCCAGCTCCTGCAGAGCCATGGGCTCCTCCAGGTTGTCCTGGCACGGAAAAGGAAGGGGCAGTCAGTCTCGGGCCCTGCCTTGCCCTTCCAGCTCTGTCCACACCAGGGCCAGCTCTCCTAGCCTGTTGCAGACCAGACAAGCTACTCTTTAGGCCTCACCGGTCACAGCACAAAGCACCAGGCGTGTGACACCGCGCATCAGGGGAGCAACTTGGAAGGCTTCCCAGAGGAGGAAGCAAAGGAATCACGAGGGCAAAGACAGGGGTAGATGGGGAGGGGGTGGGCACTCACAGGGTCCCAGAGTGCCAGCTGCCGCTCACTCATGCGGCTGAATCCTGTGGTGAGCACCTTGCCATCGGCTAGGAAGACGGCCCGCATGGGGCCTGGCGCCCTCGTGGGCCTTCTCCCGCTCCTGCAGGGAATGGGTGTCAGTGCAGCGGGGCCCTGGGCCTGGCTGCCACCTTCCCCGTCCCCGGGGGGCCACGTACCGCCACCAGGGTGCCACGGCGGGGGTCAATGATGCGCACGCTCTTGTCCTTGCAGGCAGAGCAGAAGAGGCTACCGTTGTGGTTCCAGCACACGTTGTAGATGAGGTCGGGGTGCTGCGTGTCTAGGCGGTACAGCTCCTCGGCCGTGCCCACGTTCCAGATGAGCACCACATTGTCGCAGCCTGGCAGGCAGGCCATGGGGGCTCATCAGCCTGGCCCACCCTCGGAGGACAGACGACACCCCTGGGGCCTCGGTAGGGATCCCCAGCTGTATCCGGGCATGGGGATGTGAGGGCGGGGTGTAGGGGCTGACCTGCGCTGAGCAGCACATTGCGGGCCGTCGGATGCCAGGTGATGATGCCCACTCGCTTGGTGTGTCCCTCCAGCACCACCACGGGCTCGGTCAATGGGGAGGTCAGCCCGCTTTCAGGGATTTGCCAGACCTGGGGGTGGGTCATGTTGAGCCTCTGCTCCTGCCAGACCCCCCAGCCCGCATTCCCAGGTCTGCAACTCACCATCACAGTGCAGTCCTCCGAGCCACTGGCGATGACCTCATCATTGTGGGGACACCAGTCAATGTCCAGGACGGGGCCTGTGTGCCCACACACCGTTGGGTAGGCCTTGTCAATGCGGCCCGTCTGGAGGTGTGGGGAGGCAGTCAGCAGGGACTCCCCAGGCCTTTCCCTGCTTTGTGGAGGGGGTGACCCGCTGGCCTGCCCCAGAGGTAACCATCTGCACTGTGATTGACTGCCCCACCTGCCTACTTTATTGCCTCAGGAGCAATAAAACACTCCTGAGTGTTGTATGCCCTGCAAGCTTACACCTCCTGCCCCATCAAGCTGATTATGGTGCCCCGCCCGGCCTGGAAGCAAGCGTGGGAACAAAGAAGGGGGCTGAGGTGTGCGCCAGGGTAGGTCGGGCAGGTGCAGCCCAGGCTCCCCCAGTCCCACCGGCCCACCTTGCCCAGGGGGAGCACCAGGAAGGCGCCCCCGCCGCTGGCCTCCACAATCACTGCCAGGAACCTGGGGTTGACGGCGCAGAAGGTGCTGTCCCAGGTGACACGGGACACCCGAATGTCTTCATAGCACTGGTCATTCTTAACCGGCTGGCCGAACACGTGCCGGAACTTGCTCTGCCGAACCACTTTGCGGAAGGACATGTCTGCAGGGTAGGGAGGGGTGCGTCGGCACAGGCCCATGTCTCCCGGGGCCCCGCAGGCAAGCAGGGAGACAGCAGCTGGAGGCCTGGCTTTCAGGGTCCCCAGTTACAGAATGGGGACACCAGGGCGGGCGCGGGCATCTGAGGAAGTCATTGACCCTGCCCTGTGCGTTGGGGGCCCTGAGGGCTTAATAGCCCCTGCGGCCACTCTCTGGTCCTGGTAGGCGCCCCGATAAGGGGGCAGGGTTTGGGAGGTGAGTGATGGGGGGAGGGAGGGGGGGAGGGGGACAGGGCTGCTGGGGGTGCCGAACTAGGCCCCCATTTTTAGTCTGAGGGGCGAGGAGGGGGCGGGCTCCACTGGGCAGCGCAGCTCCGGGCATCAGGGGAC